ATTTGTGAACCCTAATCTGTCTCACTGGGAGACCAAGGGCTGGAGAAAACGATGGGCTTGGACAATAGCACATACCTAATGAGAGTGTCCAAAACACTTCTCAAACTTCAACATGCATCAGAATCGCTTGTTAAATACAAATTTCTGGGCTCTACCCTCAGAGTTTCTGATCCAAGAGTTTACATCTCTCACAAAGTTTCCTAAGAGAGGCCTTTGCTGCTCACCTTCGGACCACAGTTTGAGACCCCCTGATCTCTAGTGAAGTCATCAGAGACTTTTCTCGGAGTTCAATTCAATGCAGCCCTGTACCCTCAGAGACCAAGAAAGGCAAAGTATTCCAAAATGATGTTGAAAATGAAACAGAAAACATGACCAAACATAAATAATATACATTTATCCTAAGCCATTCTGGTCAATTAGAAGACATAAGAATGGTAGAAGAGCTCTGAACAGCATGGCTCAGTTGGATGGGCATTGTCCCGCTAAGCAAAAAGTCTCCAGTTCGATTCCTGGTCAGGGTACACGCCTGGGTTGCGGGTTCGGTCCCTAGTCAGGGCACATTGGAAAAGCAGCCAGTTGGTGTTTCTCTCCCTCTATTTCTCCCTCCCTTCCCCTCGCTCCAAAAATAAATAAATACTTTTTTTTTAACGTGGAGAAGATCCAAACCAAGTTAAAATGAAATTATAAGGATGATGAAACATGGTTAGAGACAAAAATGACCGAGTTCACGAGAAAAAGACTGAGTACACAAGAAAAATGTAAAGATAGATTATACCTTTAAAATCTATAAAATTTTGAAAACATGTGGGCCGAATGAACAAATTTTAGAATGATAGCATTAGACAGCTGATTGGATGATCTGACTCTCGGAAGTCATTTTTAGGTATCTTTGTGTTGTTCACTTAGAAAATCTAGTCCCGTACCCATCTTGAGACAAGATTTTTACTCCCAACCACTTTTGGAAATGGCTCCCTAGTCCCACACCAAGCCAGGGAAACTGCAGGGAAACACTGCTCACTCGCCACCCCAAGTCTGCATGACTCAGGCAGGCCGCATCACATTGGAAAAGATGGCCTTCTGATACTGCTTGACTGCCACTCCTTTCTTACGCGGACCGCTCTTGACCCTGAAATACTCTATTCAAATAATCCTCGCAACAGCTCAGAGTATCTGTAATTGCCGCTGTCTACCTGCTGTTTGCCTCACATCCAAAATCCGTAACCGGTGAAGTCCACGGACAGTACCCCCACCACAGGACTACCATACACATTTCACATCAAATTGTCTTCAACTCTTTTCAAGCCCGTTTTTCACTTGCGGCCCTTGCTGCACTACCCTTAGTATCGGCGATGATTTCCTCCGAAGAAACCAGCACACCTGAGTGTCAGAGCCTTCTGGTATCCCTGTTACGCCCCCGCGCACCTAGGCCGCTCCCTCTACATTCGAAGGATTTCGGCCCAGGCGTTCCTCCTAGTTACACACACTCGCTTCTGTCCTCTCCCAACCCCACCCTCAACACCATCCTGTCCTTCCCAAAATAACCACACTTCTAAGGGCACGGTGCTTGGTTTTTGACCTTTTCAAAGTCAGTGTAAATATCATTCTGTCAACATACACTTTGGTTTTTACAGCAAAAAGGCAAAAAACAGATTCCAAGTAACTTTTGCTGCACAGACAGGTAAATGATTCAAGCTGGCTAGAGACTTTCCCAGGATTTATGACTGGCTATTCTTTGTTATGAAAATGCGGATTCTGTCTGTGGCCTTAAAACTAACACTCCCTAAAATATTAGAGGAGCTCTTGTTGGCTGGAGCTTACTGGGAAAAACCGTGTAAGAGGAGATATATACACCTCTACCTGAAGACTAAACTTAAGAGTCTGCCATAATCAAATCCCAAATATATGAAGTCACTGCCCACTGAATAACTAACACAAAATGTAAACAAAGGCTCTATGCCTACCTACAATTATTAAATCTTACTTTAAGCTGAGCTTCAAATCCATGTAATGCCCTGTAGTTTCTGAAATTATCTTCTTAATTAGAAAAGGGACATTATAAGAATTCTTACATATTCACAACATAACCATTTATGCCTGCCTGCTCTTCCTTATATTAAACTGTTTTTAAAAGTACAAACTTTTCTTAAATCAGTCGAGCTAGGAAAACTGGATATCTACATACAGAGGAATAAAGCTGGATCCTTCCATTACATCATATACAAAAATTAACTCAAAATGGATCAAAGACCTAAACATAAGAGTTAAAACTATAAAACTCTTAGAGGAAAACATAGAAGAAAGGCTTCAAAACTGGATTTGGCAATGATTTTTTGGATATGACACCAAAAGAACAGGCCACAAAAGTGAAAATAAGTTGAACTACATCAAAACTTAAAACTTCTGTGCAAAGGACATAATCAACAGAATAACAAGGCAAACTACAGAATGGGAGAAAGTACCTGTCAATTATATATCTGATAAAGGATTGATATCCAGAATATATAAACAACTCCCATAACTCAACAATAAGAAGACAAATGATCTGATTTTAAAAATGAGCAAGAGACTTTACTAGACACTTCTCCAAAGAAGATATACAAATGGTCAATAAGCATATGAAGAAATGTTTAACATGACTCATTACTAGGGAAATACAAATCAAAACCCCAATAAGATAAGCACCTCACACACATTAGGATAGCTACCATCAAAAACAAAGAAACAAAAACAAAAAAACAAAAAAAACCCCTCAGTGCTGGCGAGGGAGTGGAGAACCTGGAACTCCTGTGTACAATTGGTGGGAATGTAAAGTGGTGTAGCCACTGAGGAAAATAGGGTGGCAGTTAGTAAAAAATTGAAAAATAGAATTACCATATGATCCAACAATCCCACTTTTAGAGATAGACCCAAAAGATGTGAAAACAGGAACTTGAACAGATATGAGTACATCCATGTAGAACAGCACTTTTCCCATAGCCAAAAGGTGGAAGCAACCCAAACGTCCATCAGCAAACAAACGGGTAAACAAAATGTGGCATATGCGTACAATGGGATACTATCCAGCCTTAAAAAGAAATTCTGGCATATGCTACAATATGAATGACCCTTGAGGACATTATTCAAAGTGAAATAAGTCAGTCACAAAAAGGCAAACACTGTATGATTCCCCTTATATGGATACCTAGAATAGTTCAATTCATAGACAGAAAGTAGAGCAGTGGTTGCCAGGGGCTGGGGGCGGGGCAAAGGAGAAGTTCTGTCATGTGCACAAAGATTCAGTTTTGCAAGACGAAAGCTTTCTGGAGATTGACTGCACAACAATGTAAATATACTCAGCATTTTAAATGGTTAAAATGGTAAGTTTGTGTTATGTGTATTTTAACACAATTTTTGAAAGTACAAACCTAATGGAATATTTTACGCCAATAAATTAAATATGTTAATAAAGAAACAAGTATATGAATAGCCTTAATTTATAAATCTATTGCCACATGTTTATTTTACATAAAGTATATTATCTCTCAATATCAACATGCACAGAATGCTATAACATTGTAAATATCTTTTAAAGTAAAGGAATAATTAATAGGATTGAAATGATCTATAAAATAACACTTTATACACAATGCTTATATTCTCTAAAATTAATAAATTTATATGAATGTAAAGAATGTATATGGTAATGAAAATAATTTCATAGCAAAGCCTCCTGCTTCATTTCACGTTAATACTTCCTTGGAAGGTTTCAAAGAGCTTCACAAATCTCAGGGCACTAGCAAGAAAGGATTTCCTCTGCTTGAACCACAAATTGCACAGTAAAACCTTCATCACACGTTTACTGAAAGCACTGGATTGGATGATAAACATAGGGTAGCTCAGGCCCCAAGGGCCTCTGGTGCTCAGCTACCTCATTACTCTGTAGCCCCAATTTGAGTAAGAAACCTGAAGTACAACTTATTAGCAAATTTGAAGAGAAGGTATTTCATAAAAGTTACTATATGGCATCTAGATCTCAAAAACAGATTTATCCATTTATACCCAGGAAAAAATAGGTACATTTTTAATTTAGACTTAAAGTTCAAAGTGCAGTTATATTCAATTACAGTCTTAATTTGATCTAATAATAAGCTGCTTGAGAACACAACCTTGTGTCAAAACCATATGCTAAGAATACTGGCATTGTTTTATTTAATGCTAAAATCAAGGAACTAACTAAATAAAGAACGCAAAGCTTAGTTAGAAGGAAGACGTCTGTGGAGATGCTTGTAAAAGGCAAACTTCTGGACCCCACCCCCCACCGTTCTGCTCTGACACACTAGATTGGGGCCTAGTCGTTTGAACTTTTAATGTGCATTTTTAACAAGCACTTTTAATGTGCATTTTTAACAAGCACTCTAATAACATTTTAGGGGAAAATGCAAAACATACCACCAGTAAGATGCGAATTACAGCGTCTTAGAGGTATACCTCCTAAGGAAGTTCAGACCTTATCTTATTTACCTGATTAATACAGGAACCCTTTTACAATACTGACAGATTGATTGATATTGATCGATTGTACTAAGAAAGAACACCGACATATACATAGTCAAATAAATGCATGTACTTCTCTATAAGGTATGAAGCCTAATCACTTATTTTAACAATACAATTGTTTAAAACTTAGAGTCACCTCTTCCTAGAATTAACTTTCAATACAACATATGGGCCTTCAAACACATATGCAAATTACAAAATGAAAAATTGGTTTCATTGCATGATTGCTCCTTTTGGTTTTTCACTGAAGTCAGAGGTCCCCAGGTTCATCATCCTAGTTCTAAACAAGTTCATACTACTTTCCAAATACACCCTCACGGGGCTGAGATTTGCCACCACCGAAAATGGGATGCTTTAAAGAATAGTGCCAGAAGATCAAGATACAGAAAAAAGTGTTTAACGTTTTCAGTAGAAGATAGAGAACGGCCTATCCAAAAGACTATTTTGAACAAGACAATACTCACCTGGATATGTAAATTCAACCAGGCTTTTTCAAAGTCTATTATTAAACATTACTGAACGTGGATCAACAGTAATAAGAAAAGCAGACACCGCCTGTAACTGTGCTCTTCACCCCGCTGCTGGGCTGTCCCTGTGCTCTCTCCACTCTGTCCGAGGAGCAGGAAAAATTTCTCCAATGCTGGGCAATGCTGGAAACTCCAAGTCTCTCAAAATCTATAGAAATGAATAAAAAATGTTCAACAATCACGAATAAGCTACAAAAACCCAACCTCAGTGTTCCTAGATTTTTCCTCCTCCCATTTGTTGTGCACTGAATAGGCTCTCCTCAGATGGCACACACTTTATCATTTAAAAAATAAGCAAAAAGTAAATCTTTATTTAGAATCTGAATGCCAGCCAAAAATGAGAGACTCTCATTGGGTAATAGAGAGCAGAGAGGCGGATTCCTCTGTCCTCTAAAAGATGTTAAATAATTATATGGTTCTTTCACAAGAGAAAAAAGAAATGTGAAACTAAATAAATCCATATCCAAGCATCAGTAGCATCATATTAGTTAATGACAACAAAATATAAAATAGCAAAGAGAGGACGACATGACACTTTCTAAAACAACTTTTAAAAATATGTAATTGCTCCCAAAAATATTCCCAGATACCTCTGACCTATCTAGACATTGACAGTTCCAAGTTCAGGGTGCTTGCCATCCCCTGGGCAAAGTTTAATTTGAATTGGCGTTAGGAACATTTCATATCATCAGGCCTAAGTGGGAAGATGAGTTTCACAACACAAATACTGGCTTATTCTCTTGTACAAACTCAGAAAACATGAGTTGGAAGAAGTTTGGGAAATTATCCTACCTGAGAGAAATCCAGGGAACACCTAGAGACAACCAGACAGCACAGCAAGAAGACTAACCCCAAACACTCAGGGATACAAAAGGCAGAAACTAATGCAAATGCTGAACAAAACCACAAGAAGCCATGATTCAATGTCAAAATAGGTGGAAGCTAGAGAAAATTTCCAAGAAAGATGATTTAAAAACAAACAATAAATACTATACTTATATTTAAAGCATGGAAACCATTTCTTTGCCCAATGACTGGGGAGTAAGTTAAATAAACTTGATACAATAGACATAATTTGCTTAACCACAATTTTGTCAACCATCAAAAAATTGTATATTTATAATAAACTAGGGAAATGCCAATTATCATATAAAAAAGAAAAAGACAGGGTACAATCTTGTAATTATAAATGATCATAATTGTTACATAAAAGCAAGAAACAAGATGCAACTTGTTCTGATATAGTTCTAAGTATTAGGTAAAATATTTCCCCCACTTTAGATGGACTAAGGTGAGCAATTCAAGTCAGAGTCTAATATAAATATGTCTTTTCAAGATTTCTGTTTAAAGATTCCCCAAGCCCCAAAGGATGGGCCACTCATTAATGTGATAATTTGTCTGCAATAGTCCAATATATTTAAAGATGGCTCCCTAAAAAGTTACTGTAAGAGGGTATGAGTGTGTGTTTTTTGACCTATATATGTCTTACAGGCTTGGACTTTAATACCTTTTCTTATAACAAACGTTTCATGAAAGGAAAAAATGGGGTGAGGGGAACTGCAATGTGACCTAAATCTTCAAAACAAGGCACCGCAGAGGTAGTTACCAGGCACAGGAGGAGGGAGTATGAGACGGGAACAGTTAAGGATAACATGTGAGGTGCCTGGTGGGTACTAGACTTGTCGGGGGATCACGCCATAAAAATCATGTCTGAGCATGACGCTGCACACCTGAAACTAATGTAAAATAATACTGCGTGTCAACTGTAATTGAAAAAACTAAAAATAAATCAAAAGTAAAGGATAATATTTCACATGCAAATAAACAAACTCTTCATATTAAAATTTCCTCAGTACCTTCAAATCTGCCTTCTTCACACTAATCAATGGATCATTTATTAAGCACCTGGGACCTTGCAGTATATTTCATAATCAAATCTCTGGGCATTTAACTGCAAGAGGTTTTACAAGTAAAAGAACTCTCCCTCTTCCATTAACCCACGGGAACGGTGCTATCACCACGTACTGGAGCGACGCAGGCTCCCCTGCTGCCTCTGAAGGATTACAGAGTGCTCCCAGACGCTTCTGGGGCGATTTCAAGCCTCTCCTCATGCGGTGACTCTTGAATTATGAAAGGGCATCTCTTATTCATGAGAAATACTTCTCCCATCTTGGTGTTCATTATCACACACACACCCCCTTACATGCTGCATTTTAGGCACCCCCACACAAGCTCTGACTTAGGTAATGAGGCATCGCTGTGTATCACTAAGGGCTTTGCTGGGAACCCCTCTTATATTTTCCCATCATGATTTCCCCCAGCAGCAGCTTCAAAGGAAGCTGAGCCCTTTGACAGTAATGCTCAGAATGACATGGAAAGCAAGGTTAAACGGAACCCAAGTAAATTAAAAGGACTCTCTAAAACTTCACTGGGTCTTGACAATTCACTTGGTTGTCATTTCCTTTAAAAACAAAATATGTCTCCTGTTAAAAAAGGGGAGGGAAGTTGACAGTTTACAACTCAGTCACTCTCAAATCTCTCCCCAGGCAAGTGCTTTCCTTCTAACAAAATGTTCTACCTCCGCATAATCAAATCATATCCATGCTTACAATCCTTCCATGTAACAGCTATGTCACATCCCTAATTTTAACAGAGGAACAAAATTGAAAGCTCCTTTCCAGATGGTATAAATTCAGTGAATTTAGACTCCTATTGTGCTGAGTTCAGAAATCCGCTAACAGGCAGGGAGTGTGCAAAAGACACAGCAAAGCCACCAAAGACCACGGGGTGGGGGTGGGGGGGGACAGGATAATTAAATCTACATCATGGATTTCTCCCTATATCAGTAAAACAAATGCAGGAGGTGTAGATTTACTCATAGCACTGAATTAATTGACCCGTGTTATAATCAAGTGCTTTCCTATAGGGTAATTAACAAATCAATCAAGGAAGACAAAAGTCTCAAACAATTCAACAAGTTTTCAAATACCTGGAGTGGACAATGAGCTAATTTATTGAATAATTTCATTCTCCAAAAGAGCTGAACTGAGACACAAGGTTATCGTTACATGTGGAAACTTGCAGAGTGGAACAAAATATTCTACATCAGCCCTCATTCATCACTGATTTAAGTGTATTAGCGGTAACTCTGCATCTTATAATGGATGCACCTAAATCCAATCCCTGAATTTTACAGACGACAAAATTGAAGCAAAGGGAGGCTAAGTGACCTGCTCAAAATTAAGTAACTGGTAAATGGTGAAGACAAAGGTAGAACCCTTATTCTCCAGCCCACATAATGCTCTTCTCTACATTAAGTTTACGATTCCTCAACTAGCTACCTCTTCAGTTGATTTAATTCCTCCCACTGAACAGCAAAACTTTTAAAAGCTTCAGGAAACGCTCAGTCAAACAAACATTCAATCTTTAATTTCCATTCAATCAATCCCTAAGATTTTTGCATTAATCATGTAGAATTCTCTTCCTTACCCAAGAAACCCAATGTAATTTAGATGACTTTGAGAGGCTCGATCTCAGCCACAAAATAATTAGTGAGTTGCAGAATATCACAGAGGAAAAAGCAGGCAAAGAGAGAGAGAATAGGCATTTTAAAAATAAATCAAGAGTACTGATTCATTAAAATAAATAATGGAGATGAACAAAAGCAAAATTCAAGTACCGAAGTGATGTTTCCCCAACATGACAACTACTTATAAGAATTCTTATGTTTCTTAAAGAAAAAAAATAGTAGTCATTGTTTAAGGTTCTATATTCAAATAAATTATGACAATGCTGCATTTTAAATCTCTCTCTTGAATATTCACAAAGTACATAATGTGGATTAAGGGTCTACAAAGGCCTGTAGTAGAGAACCATGCTTAGTTTGGCTTAACCCAACATTTCCCCATGGTATCTGACAACTTTGGTTTGCAGAGCTTGTAGAGACAGCCTCCAAGAAACAGTTCCTACTATATTTTGAGGTGTTTGTTTTTAAATCAATAATCAATATTAAATTTTATCAGATGTCTTTTCTATAAAAATGATCATATGATTTCTTTCCTACTTGTATTTAATAAGACGGTGAATGTCATTAATAAAGTGTATACTACTGAACCCTTCTTTCATTCCTAAAATAATCCTCACTTGTGATGGTGCATTAATCCTTTAATGTGTGAGAGTGAACAGTAAATGTGTTATCTCACTCAATTTTCTACACAGAACCTACAAGGCAGCCACTCCCACGGCCGCTCTGGCTCCCACGCGCTGTCCTCCAGGTGACCCCGCTGCTCCTCACACACCTCGCGGCTCTCACTTCAGGGGCTGTGCAGGGTCTGCTGGGGACTTGCTGCCCCTGAGGTCCCCTGCCCTCAGAGATCCTCACATATCACTCCTCTCCCATGTACGTCTCTGCTTACACATCACCTCAGCACAGAGGCCTGCCCGGTCTATCCCACGTAAAAGAGAAACTGCCTCTCAATCTGGTCGCTCAGTCTTGTCACCCCTGACCCTGTTTTATTTTTGTTTGTAGCAACTGTCACCATTTAATACATATATTTGGAGAGAGGGGTTGGCGGGGAGAAAGAGTGAGAAACATGGGTTTATTGTTCCACCTACCGATGCACTCGCTGGTTGAGTCTTGAATGTGTTCTGACTGGGGATCAAACTGCAACCTTGGCGTATCGGGACAATGTTGTAACTGGCTGAGCTACCCGGCCAGGGGCTAACATATATTATATTGAACTTGTATTAATTTACATTCCATTTCCCAGAGTAGAATGTAAGCACCATGAGAGCAGGGGTTTTGTCTGCTTTGCTCATTCCCACTTCCCAGCACAAAGAATAGGCTTGGCACATAGAAATTACTAGTTAATATTTGTTTGATGCATGAATCAATAGCCATTTTACAGACAACCAACTGACGCTTAAGAGATTACGTAACTAAAATCACACAGGGGCAGGGCTGAAACTCAAACTTAAGTCTAACTTTCAATTCTCTACCCTTAACCATGAAAAAAAAAAATGACAGGTGATCTTAGGCCATACAAAATGTTCATATGACCTTATGAATACTGAAGCACAAGTCAGTGAGTCCAGTAAAAGTCGGACAGAAGCTGTGTAGATGGTCCCTGTACAAGGTAAGCAAAATAA